AACAAAAGCACATCCAAACAGCAAAGAAAATGTAGTCTAGAGGTGCAAGACTTGGCATCAAAAATCCAAGCACCTTTCTTGGAAAAATCTGGCCCCAACTCTACTAAAGATAGTTGAAGGGAACAAAAGAAGCAGTATATGTGAGAATTAGACAGCAATAACACAGATGGGGAGTGTGGAAATTTTACATGAGAGTTTGCAAGTAGATGGAGTAGTTGCCAAAAGTGTTGTTGCTACAAGGGTCGATGAAGTCAAAGTTGAGATTCTGAGGACTTGACAAAATTGGGCTAAAAGAATCCAGAAGAGTGGAAGTCATTGGAGGAGAATTTGCCACCCCCAAGCCTCCAGACTTGAATTAGAGGGCAGCATTGATAACGATTTAAAATATCGTTATCTGTGATGTAATTTTGATACTAAATACACCATTTTTAACTTAGAAACATGATTGGACTCATAATTTTTCATTAAGTTGTGTGAATAAGAGAGTTGAGGTTGAATTTGATGATTTTATGACTAATTCCCTTTGTTTTGATAGAAAATGAGTTAATACAGGAAGCACAGATGAAGTGCTAAGGATATAGAGCTCAGAAAGGCCTAGAAAAGCACTAGAAGAGGGAGCCGCACGAAGCTTGGGCGACCTACAAGAGGCTTGAGCGTGGAAAAATTGACGTCCGCCACCCGGGCGTCGAACCCCAAAGCCTGGGCGAAATTGAAGGCTCAAGCCCTACGAAAATTGACGTCCACCGCCTGGGCGCCCTAAATGGGGCCCCCGAGCGTCGCGTGTTGCAGATTTGACCTAGTTTTTGCTCTGTTTTGACTCTTTTGGACTGGGCCCTGTTTCTACTTTGTTCCAGCTCTAGGTTCCAACTCTATTTAAAGGACCTAAAGGCGGGAGCTTCCTCTTCTACTCTTAGGGTTTCCCTATCTCATGTTTTTCCATTATTCATCTAGTTTCTCCATGTCTATGGGGAACTAAACTCTATTTGCTGTTGGGAAATGATGTAACCTTGTGAACTCTCATGTATTTGAATTGATTCTTAATCATATATGCTTCATTCATTAATTGTTAGGGAATTCATCTGTTTTAATGCTTTCTCTATTTAACTCATTTAGTCGCATGACTTATGAATTGCATGAGTGTCGGGAGGTTCCTTACAATTCAGGTTCTTGTTGAATTCTCCCAAGGGTAATACTTCTTAGGGATGAGGGTATGAGTACTTGGTCGTCTTAAGCTCTTGATCTTTGTGTTACTCTATTATTGATATTCATATTTAATTTTCTGTCTTTACATTTTAAACCAATGAAAATTAAATATGAATGCAAATTGATCAATAGTAGAATATCACAAAGATGAACGAATGTTGTTTAATATGAGATGAATATGTTGTTGGGGTTAGATTTCACCAAGCTCCCTTTGATGTATATAAGAATTTCTCTTTATGCATTAACGTTAACGTCACTCACTAAAGTACTTAGAACCCAATCCCTTGGCGCAATAAGACTAACTTAATTCCTAGTTAGTACAATTACTAGCATTCCTAGAAAATTAAGTCTGAAGATCAAGAGCTTAAGACAACCAAGTACTCATACCCTCATCCCTGAGAAGTATTACCCTTGGGAGAATTTAACAAGAACCTGAATTGTAAGGAACCTCCAGGAACTCATGCAATTCATAAATCATGTGACTAAATGGTTATGCTCCGAACCATTCTTTGTAAAGAGAATTCTTTTACTGTGAATAATAGAAAAAATCATTATTTCATTACTATTTCTACCTACTGTCAGTGTTCTTAGTTAGGTTCACTAGTAAAAAATGTGCTTTTGAACTCGCCTAATAGGCTTCGGTCAAAGAAAAACCGAAGCATATTCGAAAGCGATGGCAATCTTGTAGTTTTCACCAACTTATATGCACAGGTTTAAGAATATTCGAAGCATATAGAGCATTTTACCTCGGTTCAAATCATAACCGGTGCCTAATACTTTTTGAAAAAGTTACCTGCGTCTCTACAAAATTGAGTTTTGGCCTGACACGTGATCTAGTGCTTCGGTTCTATACAAAATCGGTGTCGAAAAAGGTTTATGCCTCGGTCAATACAGAACCGAGGCCTAAGATGGAGTAGTTAGGTAAGAAAGAATGGATGAAAGAAGATGAGAGGAGTATGAAAGAGGAAGCAGAAAGGAGGGCCGATGGGAATATATTAATGGCATGAATCCGCGTGCACGCAATTGCTCTCCAACATGATGAATCACTGTCACATCCCATCCCATATTCCACCGCCTGCAACTTTTCCTTCATCCACTCCTAATCCTAAAAAATAATAAGGCTACTTCCTCTTTTATTAATTGCACCTCCACCAAGCACGTGCTTCACTCATTTACAAATATACTTCAGTTTCATCAACGGTGGATATGTTGCATAATGGTTGACCCCTGAAAGTGACTACACACATCACAAACGAAGAAGGAGGAACTGGAGCTAGAGTTGGAGCAGGAGCAGAGTTAGATTCTTGAGCTCCACAAAGCTCGTTGGAACCTCACCGGAGAGAACTTTGTTGGACAGATCCATCGACTTGAGACTCTCCAGGTTCCCCAACTTAGGAGTGAGCGATCCGGAGAGCGCATTCACCTGAAGAAAGAGCGTGTCCATATTCTGAAGCCTTCCGAGGTCAGCCGGAATATCGCCGGAGAGTCTGCAATATGCGGCGTCGAAACGGAGAAGTTGAGACAGGTTTCCAATCTCCGGCGGGATGCCGTCGGAGTAAGCGTTGTAGTAGCCAATGTAGAGCTCGCGAAGCACGGTGAGGTTTCCAAGCTCCGGGAGATGTTTCCCATGAGTTCGTTAGGTCTTGTCAGGTGCCATACTTGGGAGGGATCTGGCCGGAGAAAAAGTTGTTGCCGAGGTGGAGATGACGGAGGAGGGGCATGGCGGCGATGGCGAGGGGGAAGGGACCGGTCATGTTGTTGTTGTAGAGATCAAGGACTTGGAGATTGGCAAGGCGGGCGAGGTTGGAGGGGAAGGTGGCGTTGAAGAAGTTGTTGGAGAGGTTGAGATGGCAGAGGACGGAGAGTGCAGAGAAGGAGGCGGGGATTGGGCCGGAAAATTGGTTGTCGGCGAGGGAAAGGTAGGAGAGGAAATGGGGGTTCAGGAGAGGGAGAGAAACGACCTCGGTTCCTGATGAACCGAGGCATAAAGGCCAGCGAAAAAAAATATTTAAAAAAATAAAAAATGTCACTGCTTCGATTAATTTTAAATCGAGGCATAATCCTACCATTTTATGACTCGGTTCTGAATCGAGGCATAAAGTCTATCACTTTTTACCTCGCCTGAATATGTCTCGATTTAAAAACCGGTGCCTATTAACGAAAATAACCGCTGTCGTTTTCTCTTATTGCACTAGTGGTTTCAAACCCAATAACCTAACATATTCAAAACCATTGCCCTTACAGTTGATACCCAAGACTAGGACGCAGAAAAGCTTATATCAAGAGCAGGTACAAATCTTCCACTTCAACCATGTTATGTTTATCAATTTCTCAATGGATATGAGTAGTTATTTTTCTGAGTTTCAGCTTTTATCCTTGCAAATAAAATCAAGTCCTGAAATGTATTTCACAGATTCACACTGGATGATGATGATTTGATAAAATAATATCTGTTATTAACAAAAAAAGTTCTCTTATTTGACTGTCTGAGGTTTCACAGTTGTCCTATGATTATCTTCCTAACCTTTTTATGGCATACGTGAACTTGTGTATGAAAACAAAAACTAGTTTTAAATTTTTTAATAACTTTTTAGTTGAACATGTATTTAATGTACGATATTTTTTAGCCGCACTGTGTGTGCTCAAATTTTGGTAGTTCCCTTTTTCTCAAACGGATGGATTTCTTCAACAAATTATGAAAGTATTAAGAAAATAAAGTCACTGCGTAATATTTTTAATAGCCAATGAAATTTCAGTTTTAGTTTGCTTCTTTTATGGTTGAAATTCAAAGTCCAATATATATAACCATGATGGAATTGGATCATATCTTTACTTTATATTATTAATTGAGAACATGTTCATAGAGTAATCTCTATAGCTCTATGTCTATGAACTTTGGTTTCTTTTTCAAAGAACGTGTAATAAATCTAGTCCCTCATATTTTAGAATTCCTCAAACCCGACCTTTTCGTGTGTGATTTACAAGGCTAAAACTCTAGTAATAAAAATATCTCATTTTGCAGTATTTACGTTTCATAATAAAAATAATATGAAGCACTCAATTTTTCTCATTCTAGTAAGAAACCTTATGATCAGGTCAATTTATATTTATATTAATTGGTTCTTTGTTAAATGTGTGTGATCCTTTTTAATTAATTATTATTTTCTTATTTTCAGGTGAGCTGACCCAGAACTAAAAGTATCTTGTTAATATATATTCTCATTCATATCACATAATTGTAGAGAAAACAATTTATGCGCAAATGAATGAGAATGTTATTCAGAACATTTTTGTTATTAACTTTTAGGATTGAACCTTTTATTTATAATAATGTTTAATTTTGGTTTCAGATTATTCTTCATAGTTTATTAGTAAACATTTTATAATGATCAAATTAATTGAATAAAAGAATTATATTATTTTCATTATCGACGGTTTTAAAAACTTCAACTACGTAAATTTAGTAATTATTGACAGTTTTGGAACTCTCGCAAACATCAACGGTTTTGCAAATATCAGCAGTTTTTATGAGGAATCCCATAAGTGGCGGTAATCTTCGAAAACTCCCCCACAAATAATTTATTTGTGATAATTACATGCAAATTTGTCGAAAGTTATTTATCAATGGAGTTTTTCCCAACATTTTTTTAATTGGGGGACATTTACCAGAACTTAAAACCCCTGGTAATGAAAACAAATACTGATAAAATTCCATATTTTTGAAGTGTTTTATACGTATATATAAAAGGTATAGGGTTTATAGATACTTTATATTGTATTAAATAATTTCTCATCAATTCTATTAAAACTGAAACCATAGAACGGGGAATAAATATTATTACAGTTACCTAAAATGTAAATGTATAAGAGTGATATAGTCTTTAGTACATTGAAAGGATCCATAATTTATTAAACAATAGAATAAAATATAGAAGGTAATCCGAGCCTCTAGAAACATGCATCCAATACACAGCAGCAACACAACGCAGCACAACTGCGTCAAAATAATCACACGTCATAAATAATGAGACAACAAAAGTGACGCTAATTAAATATGACTAATTGAATTTTTAGCCCTCTCATATCCTAGATGAAGGATTCTCGTGTCAATATTTTCAACTTTATTTCAAGTCTCATTTACTTATACAAATGTTATGTTTACGCTTAAAGAAAACAGAAAATGACAGTTAAAAATATAAAAAATATTTTAGAAAAAAGCAAAAAAAAAAAAAAAAGAATTTTTTTCCAGTGCTAAGAAAAATATTCTTTGATCATTCTTGTTAGGTCTTCCAGCATACTATCATTCTCTCTTGACTTAAAATCTGTAATGATGACTCAGTGAAAATTAAAAACAAAAAGAATAACAGAAGCAAATAAATTTTCTTAACCCTAACAAATAAATTTTAAATGAAAACCAAAGTTTGAGGGTTAATTAAAAACTGAATTAAGGAGATTGAAGATAGTGCATGTGGGGAGAAAGAGGAATGAAAAATTACCATCCTTTCCAAAAGCCATCACCCTTGGACTTAGTTTCCATCATTGATGAATTCTGAGGGTATTGTGGAATGTCTTGGGTGGGATAACCAACGGGTGGAGGTGGAGGTGCAGCTGAAGGTGGAGGATAAGCTACATTCAAACAATATAACCATCATCATATTAATGTGTGTGCATGTACATATATTTGAAAATATTAAAATTTATGATGTATTTAAAATTTAATTATATCAGAAAATAATTACATAAATAGAAATGGATACCACATATAATTCCGGAAGATATAAAGTTGATCTATAAGTAAAAGTTGGAAGAAATATTAAAAGAGATTGTAGATATAACACTCTTCCCTATTACAAAACAAAAACAGCTAATCAACACATAAAAAGTAATTAAAATTCTAACATGAAACCAAACACGTTATAATGGAGTAGTTATAATGAACTAAAAATGTTAAGAAGCACTTGTCATGTTGAATACATCATAGACTTTTTAGTTATACCTTTGCTCACGCAACAATTCTCTTAATATAAAGGAACCTCAATTAAACTTGATTACGTAAACATATATCATAAATACTTTTTGATTAATTCCTTTAATATTTTCAACCCACGTAAATCTAAATTAAGAACAAACGAAAAAGGAAAATGTTCTTTTAATAATTTTTTTAACAACTTTTTTATAATATTTTATGTGATAATTTGTGATTGATCCGTTTTAAATACACAAATCAATAAAATAATGACACATAATTTATTCTCAAAAAATTGTTAAAAAAAATTGTTAACATATCATAGTTCAACGAAAAATCTCAAAATTATTACAAGAGTGTTGTTCTCTCCATCACCACGCCATGCTCCCTGCACCTCTTCAAATTCTTTTATTTTCAAAATTATCCTTAGGTTAAAGGTTAAATTTTTTTTACTTTTACCACAATTTTTAATCTATTTCCTAAACCCTAATTTTACTTTATTCATATTCTCTGAATGCAGCAGCTGCACCCCCAACCTCATATCAACTCAATCTTCTTCTACTTATTTGTATCCACATCAGATATGAATTTTTAATTATCTTTTGTTGATGAAGTACATAAAACTATCATGTATTCGATTATACCTAATAATTATTATTGAATTTTAGTTAATTAATCTTTTAAATTTGAATGATGAAAATCCATATCTGATGTGGATACAAGTAGGTAGAAGAAGATTGAGTTGACATAGGAGTGGGACTGCAATTGCTGCGTTCAGGGAATATAAATGAGATAAAATTAGGGTTTGAAAATTAAATTAAAAATTCATGATAAAAGTAAAAAAGTTTTAACCTTTAATCTAAAGATAGTTTTGGACATAAAAAAATTTGAGAAGTGCAGGGAGCATGCCGAGATGGTAGAGAGCAACACTCTTGTTACAAGGTTTCTTGTCATTTACAAAACCCAAATTGCTCGCAAACCAATGACCAAGATCTCGATTTTGCAAAGAGCATCAAAATCTAAAAACATTGGAAAAAAACTGTTACAATTTTATACATCTCACCAAACTGTTACTATCACATGTATTAATTGCATAAATGGCACGAACAAAATTGTAGAAGAAAGTTTGTTTCTGATAAGCAAATGCGATTAATTCAATAAAATAAAGAATTCATTAATTGTAGATTAATTACATAAACACAATCTTCTTTCCTATTACTAGAATGAAGAACATCACCTATGATAATAACTTTCCAGCCAACGCGTGTAACAAAGAATTCATATTTGACTCTAACATATTCCAAAACTTATTGAAAGAAGAACACAAACATATTAATCTGTGGGTAGAGGATTTGAGAAAAGTGGAAAAGTTGAAAAGTTGAAAGTTTAATATAAGAGAAAATTAAGAATATGGTTTATTTTGTATAAGTGTGATATTTGAAAGTTGTACAGCCTTGAGAGAAAGAAAGGAGAAGAAAGAGAGAAGTGTTGTTAAAAGTAACATGTTTTTGAGTATAAAGCATGGAAGAGAGTTTACCTGTAGCACTCTGACCTGAACTCATCTTTAGAAATTCTCAGCACTTACCAAATAACTGAAAGAAGAAGGGTGAAACAGGAACATACGAAGATTACAGCGTACACACATTATAGATACACAAAGTTATTTATAAATAAGTGAGAAGCGAAGATACCAAGGTTTTCGTTTGAAGAAACTAACGATGTTACTTGGAAGACAACGAAGAACTGAATAAGGAGACGGCACCGCGTGAAATCAATGGATGAAGAACGACAAGAATGGGAATTTTTTAATATATATATATATATTTCTTAGTATATTATTTCATGAAAATAAAAGTGATAATGACAAAATGATTGTTGTTTCGAAATGGGACGCGTGTCCTAAAATGAAAGGGGCTGCCGCTTTCTCTTACCAAATCTTCCGTTAGTAAAACTCTTTCGACCAAGTGTAACGTGTTTCTTTGCATCTTTATACTTTAAAATAATTAAATAAATTAAAATAAATGTTTGCTAAATAATTGAATGTTGTAGAGAATAAAATAAATAATTTGATCCAATAATATTTTAACTCAAAAAATTCTAAGTGTTACTGTGAGCTCATAGCCGACCCAACGGTAAATTTGCAAGAGAGTCCTAAGTATTTTGGGTTCATGGCCGATGATATCTCTCAGGCCAATGAACTGAACAACAAACAGTTAACCGATAGGTAAAAACTGTTATTATTTATTAATAAAATATTACAAAGATATGTGTCATCACTTGCGGAGGAAGTTGAGATTGGACCGCAAGTCTCTGTCTTAGAGATATTTTTCTGTATGCACGCAGCCAACGTCACTTTTGGTGTGCAACGTTCTTGTTTGTTTCCACGGTGCCTTTCTCTCTCAAAAGCCATCGATTTTGTACTTAATTTTAAGGTTTGGTGCCACTTTTTACGTGAAGTACTTCTCAAGCTAAGGAGGGTTAGTTCCATCCTAGGCTCTATAAATAGAGCCTTACTTTATTCAGAAAAAATTATCATAATCTTTTTTTTTGTTCTCTTTCCTTCTTCTCCTAATTTCATTCTCTCACTTCCCTAAAAATATTCTGGGTTATGTATTCTCTTTTTAAGAGATCCTTGCAGTTCTGAGATCCTCAGAAATTCTGAGAAGTTCTGTTGTATCCTGGGGGGCTTGCGCAATACACGGGATAAGTCCTTAAGGACAGTGATCTACACGCCTCAGGAAGTATATTGTTCGTGATCTTATTCTACTATTGTCAGCTTTTACAACAAAAACAACTGTTAAGGTAATCAATAATAGTAATATAATTAATAGGAATAATGTCATTTATTGGTGATTAATGAGTCAGACCTAATGGTAAGCTCATTATAATTATTTATAAATATTTGTCTGACAAATAAGACAAGTAAGTTTGAACTCTGATAACTAATTTTTATTATAAAATTATTACAAAAAGTCACTAACTTGAGCGTCGGAGTGTCTTCTGCAGGCATCTCCTTGCGGTTTGGACAAAGAGAAGAGAAAAGACAGCATGATGGAGGGAATAATTTTGAATGTTTTGAATTAGGAATCTAAATCCAATCGAAACACTAAGTGTTTTTGTTTTTAATCTATTTTTTTATTTATAAGCATTCGTTTTTACACAGCATATATCTTAAATATTGGAATATAGTTATTTTGAGTACGGGTCAATTATTTGATTTTCAATGTGTTTGTCCAATATCTAAGTCTGTTCACTAAGAGGTATTTTGTGTGTTCAAACTCACTTAAATTGGTGATAAGATATTTTAAAATATATTTTTCGGAACAAATATTCATATATTAATACAATCAAATATCTATAATTTAATTATGTTATAATATTTCTTAATATAATATATTTACATAATATATACTATATCAAATAAAATATCACATTATTATTATTTCATTAATATATATATATATTATATATATATATATATATATATATAGGGGGTTTGCTAACGCGCGTAAGCAGGTTTTCAGTTGTACATTTCTTGTACCGAAGTTTAGTAGACTAAAATTAACCCTTATACATGGATTCTTAAGTTTTAAGTTAGGGTATTTAAAATTTTCATTCTCAAAACTAAAAGAAAAAAAAAGAACCCCCAAACCCTTACTCACCTCTCTCATCGTGTCAACCCTTTCTATTTCATCTTTCTCACTTCAATCTTTCCTCTGTCATTCCTACTGTAGCCCAAATTGAAAAATCAATAACACTTGCGCGTTAAACAATCTTACAAAAAAATGATTGGTTTAATGGATTTTCATCTTATAATGTGTGTCTTAATAATTTAATATCCAATTTTCACAAGCATAATGAATTGGTAATGACGTGAAAAAATCAGAAATACTCGCTGATACAACCATATTCTTAGCAAAAATGATTTTATAATGATTTGTTATTTTATAATTTTGTCTTTATCTAATTTATACTAATTTTCCACAAGCCAATACATACATAAGGAATTGGTAATTAGCCGGAAAAAAATCAGAACAAACACTCTTTTGCTTAACAATTCTCTATAAAAATGACTTTATAATGAGTTTGCATTTTATAATTTTTGTCGTATATAAATTTTATCTAATTTTCACAAAGCAATAATCATCCAAAAGAATTTGGTAATTGGCCTCGAGGTTTTTTAGAGAAGTTTGATATTCAACATATGTCAATGATGAAATTAGAGAGATTAGTACAAATGGTGAAATTGTAGAGATCTTGGATGAAGGTGAATATGTCAATACTCAACTCTTACAAAGGTAACATTGTTTAAAGGCAAGTGTTTCTGATTTTTTCAATTGGAGCTACAGTAGGGATGACAGAGAAAAGTGTTGAAGTGAGAGAGATGAAAGAGAAAGGAATTGAGAAGGAATGACAGAGGTGAGTAAGGTTTAGGGATTTCTTTTTTTTTTTTAGTTTTGAGAATGAAAATTATTAAAATACCACTTAACCTTAAAACATAGAATCCAATTGGATATTATTTTTTAAAAGGATATTTTTGTCTACTAAAAACCCGGTACCACATTGTAAAATGTACCAACGAAAAACAGGGGGGGGCGTGAGCGCGTGTAGCAACCCCAATAGATATATAATATAATAGTTATATATATACTATATTAAGTATATATATATATATAGCTATATATATCAGTGAAACAATTTATAATAGTAATTCCTATATGTGATTAAATTTAATAAATTATTAAGGTATTTGAAATATTATAAATTTTGTAATTGATCTGAAGATTAGTTTTAATCTTTTTATACAAACATGGACTTTTCAAATTTTTAATTAATATTATTAAGTTTTAAAAGCTTTCGAATAAATTATAAGGTCTGGCTTCGAAATTTAGTTGCAATATTTTAAGAAATTTTAATGAGTTTATTAAGTCTTGTCAAATTAGTAATTTTTTAATTGCATTTTTAATGATTTATTAAGTTTCATTTTTTTACATTCATATTCATTATATATTATTACATATAAAAAACTTTGTAAATTCTAAATAAAAAAGGTAAAAAATTAAAAAAATATTAAATAATTTCAAACTAAATTATTTAATTCAAATAAATAAATTAATTTAATATTTATATTAAATAAATAATTAAGTAAAATAAAACAATTAATTAAAATAAAAAAGAAAAACTTATAAAACAAATAAAACATAAAATATTTCAAAACAACATAATCTAATCAAAATATAAATAAATAATTAATTAAAATAAATATATACAGAGAAGAAAGCACAAAAGAAAGGACAAGATCCTAAAGAGAAAGAGTTTCGAAGAAAGAAAAAACTGTTAAAAGAATTTGATCACATTCTTTTCGTTTTATTAATAATTAAGGGTTAAATATCTTTTTAGTCCCTCAATTATCATGCTATTTTGGGTTTCGTCCCTCTTCTAAAGGTTTGTTCATTTTCATTATCTTTCTTAAGAAAGTCAAATTTTTAGTTCTCATGATGAAAGCAACTCCACACTTCAAGTGAGAGCTCTCCCAAACTCAGAATAGATGCAGCGGATTGATTGGAGGAAGGGATACGGAGGTGCACACCAGGTGTTTGTGAAATGGTTCAGTGAGTGTTTTTGTGTATGTTGAAGCCTCACAAGCTTAGAAGGCCTTCCAAAAGGGAAGGAAGTTGGAAGAGAAGGTGTTGAATCAAGCATAATAAGATGAACTCGAAGAATATAGGTCTGGAGTAATCTCAACAGCACTTCAATATCTCATTCAAGTTGAAAATTACATGGAGATTCACCTCTCTTTTATAGGTGAAGAGAGAGCTTTGAATCTTGCCTTGCAAGTTTCTACAATTACAAAAGAAGCGTGCTGGAGAAGCTACGAAGCTTGGTGTGCAAGGTTCATAAGCTAACTATTAAACACGTGCTTTAAAAGCTAAAGCTGGTTCATAGTGGATGGGCGCAGTTTGTAGGTGGCTGGGCGCAATCTCCAATTCGAAAGGTATTTCTCCCTTGCAGTCCAATCTAGAAGCCAACTTCTCCAATTTGGAAAACACTCAAAATGCACTCTTCTTTGCCTCCTTTGCTCTCTCTTGCTTGGTAAGCTTCCTAGGATGCATAAGCATGGTTTTCAACCTTTATTAGTGACCTACAAAACAATGTAAATATATTTAGTAAAGAAAATTAATTTAAGACTTATATAAGGGAAGAGCTTTAGAAATCCTTATTCCACTTCCCTTTCTTTAGTCTTAGTTTAAGTTGTTACTTCTTTGGATGGAAAGTCCCTAAAGGAGTTGTCATCACCTCAAAAAGCAACAACGTTAGATTTTCTCTGAGATGACTAAGGATATGTCATGTCTGATGCCAACTTCCATGTTAAGTGTGTGCTACGTTTCTTTTTTTTTTTTTTTTCTGAAATCATATTAGGTGTGTGTCAGCTGCCTTGTTAAGTGTGTGCCATGTTTACTTCCTTGAACCTAACGTCGTGATGTCTTAGAAATCAGATTTTAACTAAGTGTGCTTTGATTTAAAAAAAAAAGAGAAATGTGACACACACTTAACATGGAAGTTGGCATCAGACGTGGCACACCATTAGCCACCTCAGAGAAAATCTAACGTCGTTGTTTTTTTGAGGACTAAAAATTCGAGTTTTCTAAGGAAAAGGATGAAAATGAACAAACTTTTAGAAGAGGGACGAAACCCAAAATAGCATGATACTTGAAGGACTAAAAACATATTTAACCCAAAAATTAATAACATTTTAATTGATTTTAATTGGGAGTATAATTGTGATTTTTGAAAATTTTGGAAGTGCATGA